GCGAACAGGATTCGTCACGGGATCGTAGCGATGACCGAAAACGGCCGCGTCAAGACGTAAGTTTATTTTTGACCCTACCAATAGTAAATGTGCCCAAAAAAAAAAAAAAAAAAAGTTTTCAGGTTTTTTAAGACATATGCATACGTACTGCGGTCATTGTATGTGTAATTTTAATGAGTTTCCAAATATTTATAGCACTATTTGTGAAGTTTTAACACCGGATTCTAGAGCGTAAAAGGAAATTGCACACATAAAAAATAGTTGTGCACTCAAAGTAGTCAGAGAAAAAGACTTTGAGAACGCAAGAACTCAATTTATATTGCAAATATATCTTATATATTATAAATAGCAGCAGCAGCTACGCATATAGCAAAGATTTTGCCACAGCGATCGAGATATATACATATATGCATATATATATTTTATATGCATAGAAACTGCAGCCATGGCTGCGATCGAGCCTGAATCAAAACATGATTGAGACCGTGCATTGTGTGTCTGTACCCCAAATAATATATATATCTTAATGCCTGTAACAGCAGACAATTTCTCCGTTCCGACAACAGATATCTATACCTACAAATATATACAATTAACATGTATATTTGTGTAATCAATCCATCTAAATAGCTCAAAGTATAAGGTTTGTTCATCATGCTACTACTACTACACACACTTGCTACAGGATAACGATTATTGCATTTGAGATAACCCAATTTATATAACTATATAAAAGTATAAATATATAGCAATTCTTTATCATCCACAAACAAGAAATTTATATGTATATCTACCTATGTATTCGAATATCAAATCAAAACAAAAAACAATGCTCCTCTACACTCCTTCCTACTCATCAATCGTCATAGGATTACCGTCGCACGTCCTCGTCAAATGATCACAATGATCGTCCATCGTCGTCATCGCAGAACATGGGCTCATCATCGTCCAGTTATCATCAACGGAACAGCACCGGCGGTGGTGGCGGCAGCTCAAGCTCGTATCGGCCACGCGATGATTCTGGCAGTCAGCGACATCAGCGCGAGTCGTCAATGGGACCGCCAAAGCGTCCGCTGTTGCGCAGCGTTGCCGGCACCAATTATATATCACGCCCGCGGGGCTCAATGTCCATACGCGGCGGCATGATGCGCAACAACATGCGTGGCGTTGGCAACATGCGGATTGTGCGGCCGCGCATCAACGAATCCAATGATCTGCGCACCATGCGCCGCCAACTGCTTTATGCTCAGCAGAAAGATCGCGCTCGTCTGCTCAAGATCCAACAGCTGAAAAGGTAATTAGTCAAAAAGTATTACAAACAAAAAAAAAAAAAAAGAAAAGTCGTCCAGTATATAGCGCATTTCGCTTTCGTGTGTAAGGCAGTTATGAATCCTATAAAGAAATTCAAGGCCGATGATAGTTTAAAGCACATACGCCATGCGCCAATGAAGGGCGACGGGCTCCAATCGAAGAGAGCATCAAATACATTTGGCTATGTTACCAATATGAATATGTGATATGAGCACTATGACTATTTTATAATAATAATATGCCACATATATGACTGAGAATTCCGAGGTTAAGAACTATTATTGGCCAAATTGAAAAATTGAAGGGTTATTTAAGAAACCATTGTTATATCGAGATACTAGAGAGATTTGAGATCTTCGCATATCTTGTAAACTGTTGTAACTGTATCTATAATCGTGTAGAGAATCAAATCAGACTACGACACCCGACACACTATGACAATGTATTTGTTAGCTTACATCTTAATATATGTGTACTTACCACAACAATTTGCATTTGCGCCTCCCCCCTTCACTACAAATATCAAAAACAAACCAAACAAAAAAACAAAAACAAAAATTCAATTCGAATTCCATGTATAGCTCGTTGCGGCGCCAACGCCAGGGAGGGAATAGCAGCGATAATTCTAGTGACGATAATGATGACTCTGATAACGCTGACAAGGAGGACGATTCTGATAAAAAGAAGAAGAAAAGCAATGACGATGATGGCGAAGACGATGGCAACGACGATAAAGATGGCGCCGATGGGGAGGAGAAGAAGAGCGAAACGACTAAAAAGTCGCCAAGCAAGAAGCGTAGCACCAAAACGGCAACCGAAGATGCCGAGGGCAAGTCCAACGATGAAAAGGATAAGGATGAGGACGATGAGCAGGAGCACGGCGATGGCCATGAATCGGAAAAAAAGAATGCCAAATCGGTTGGCTCCGATGATGATGATGATGAGGCCAAGGGCAAGACCGATGAGTCCGGTGATGCCGATAAGCCCAAAGAGAAGGGCAAATCATCGAGCACAGCCGAAAAGTCGACAGGTAAGAAAAAAGACAAGGACGGCGATGACAAGGAGTCCAAAACGAAGAAAACGTCCAGCAAGAAGGAGCGCTCCTCGCGCAAGGACAAAGATGAAAGTGACGATGAACGCAAGGAGCGACGCACCACCTCCACCTCTCGTCATCGCGACGACGATCATAACAATCTGCGCAAGCGTACTTTCATCAAGCTCACCTGTGTTCACTGTCACATCAAGTGCGTTACCTTTAAGGTAAGTTGAGAGAGGCCTATCATATCAAAATCGATGCACCTATCAATTATATGTGTATATGTATATGTTGACATATTACACAGGAATACCACTATCATTTGAACTCGCGTACTCACAAGAACTCGATGCGTACTGTCGCTTTGCGTCAGCGGGCGGATTTACAGCGCATGCGCGCCCGTCAACGCACCACACAGCGTGAGATCGAGGAGAATAGCAAGGAGGAGTATGAGTCCCGCTATTGCCGGCTTTGCCGTTTAGCCTATCGACAGCCGAAGAACCTGCATCAGGCATCGGAGCACCACAAGACGATCAAGAAGTTCTTGATGCCGTACTGTGGCTCTTGTCACTTGGCCTTCAAGAATGCTATGCTCTATGAGAACCATCGCTGCTCGCTGGAGCACATAAGAGTGAGTTTTGTAAGAAATAGGATTTCTTTTTTCCATTATTTATTAATTGTATAAACTGTCTACAGAATAAGGCGCGTAACGACGAGTCTGGATCGGAGGACAGCGTTGATGAGCGTGAAATTGATTTAAACAAATTCCTTACCGTCGATTCGGTGGGCGAGATCGATGACGATGTCATGGATGCTGATGTTGATGCAATGTTGCTTGAGGCTGAAACAGCACAGAAGAGCGCCGACGAGGAGACGCGCAAGCGCGGCCTTATCGGCCTGGACTTCATCAAGGCTGTGGAGGCATTCTATTGCGAATTGTGCAATCATTACTCGCCCAAGTTGAGCGATGATACATTGGACGCGTACACAAAGAAGCATTGTCTGCAGCACTTGCATATAAAGAACTATTTGCGCCACAAGGATGAGACCGAAAAGTCCAAGTCCAAATCTGATGCGGGCGATGACGATGACGACCATGAGGTCGATGAGGAGGGTAACAAAATACCCAAAGAGGAAGCTGACGCCGAAGAGGACATTGAGATGGACGGTAAGGATGATGATGAAGAGGACTATGAAGGCGAGGATGCTGATGAATCGCACGATGAAAAACTGTGGGAAGAGGTTGACAAGGATTTGGGTGATCTGTTGGCCGAGGTTGAGCCATTGGGCCAAGAAGAAGAAGAGGAGGAAGATGAATCTGTGCTGAATATTGACATCGAAAGGTGAGTTGGATTTAATTTAATACCAATCTAAGCAACCCATAATGTGCAACCATTATTGCAGTGAGAAGAACAAGCTTAAGGATGTCAAAGATGAACCAAATGGAAATGCCGAGGAGGCTCCAAAAGAAACCAAGCCGACAGCTACAAAAGCGGCAGATAAAAAATCAACTACAGCAATAACAACACCAACAACAACAACACCTAAAGCAGCAGCTGCTGCAAAAAAGGAGGCGGCACCGCCCAAAAAAGCAACGCCAAAAGCAACCGTGACCAAGGCCAATCGACCCGGCCCAGCCTCAACGAAACGTCAGGTCTTGGTCAGTTTGAAGCGCACTTCAGCGGCGACCATCAAGGCGGCCACCAAGTCCGCGGCCGACTCCAAATGAGCTCGATCTGTCCACAAACCAACCATACACACATAGATAACTGCAATGACCAAAACCCAGTGATTTGGCTGCAGCAAAACACCAACAACAACAAAAAATACACATTTGAAATTCAACTTTTACATGCACGTTCAAAAGAAACTCCACACAACAATGTGCTACTTGTGCGCGAGGCATGTTTAATAAACTTTTAGACATAAAATTAACTAAACAAACCACCTGTGCAGCATATGGAGCACTCTCTTAGTGTACCTTTCCAAGAGCTGTGGCCTTTCTAAACTTAAGCACCAAACAATGAGCCAGCGAATTGTGCTTTATCCGCCAATTTGCTGGGCATTGCAGGGCAGCAGCCGTTAGAGAGCGAGAAATGGCAGTTGCTTAATTTGATTAAGTGGATTTTTTGGTGCGCCGCCTTTTTATCGGATGTATTTATTAACCTTGTAGACGACGAGTGTGCTGCTGGTTTTTATTTCCGACCCGAGCAGACAATGCGGTGGCAATGGAAACTGAAAGGAAAACACATTTCATTTCATAATTTTTCGCCAAATTAACTTTCACTGCATGTCACGTAGGATTGCTGTGGATGGTGGCGCCGCAGATGTGGCAATGTCTTTGCATGTGCCACACATTACACAATGTGCCACTTAATATGCGTTAATATGGGGGCCTCCTTTCTCACTCCAATGCAGTTGCTTCCTTTTTATTAAATCAGCCAGCGCTGACAGACAATGTCAAGTTTTGATTTGATTATTGCAGCCAGCGGCTGCACTTTTGATATATCTGCTGCCTGGCTGGCTGACTGTCCACTTGGTTGGAGCCAGCATCTGTTGCTGCGGCTGAAGCTATGTCGTTAATCCCTGACAATCGCTCATTCGGCGCTTTGGTAAATTGCATTCAAGCTGTGTCGCGAGATTTATGCGCGCATTGTTCTGTGCCACAAATCCGGTTTTTCTTTATTTTTTTTGTTGTTTGCTGTTTGCCGGCTTCAGAGTTTGGAGAGCCCGTTACTATTAACATTTAATCTGTGGCTCCAACTTGTTTATTTTTGTTTCGAGGTTTTTGTTGCTTTATTTTTGAGGCTTTTGGCGCTTCTATTAAGAAATTTGAACGGGCTTTTTTTGTTTTTCGATCTTCCTGTTGTGCAGCTTGTTTTTTGCACTTTGCCACATTTTAAATGCCAAGGTGGTGGCTTGTTGGCCGAATCAAGTTTCCTAGATAGCCGCAGCACAAAAAATGGTTTTTGTTAATGTGGATAGCTGATAAGTTACGCATTTACCGCTGGGCATTGACATTTCTCATGTGTGTATAAAAATTGTTGTTTAATTAAATCATTTGGCGACTCCATTGAAATGTCACTTGAATGTGGCCAATTCGCAAAGACAATGTTTTCTTGTGCGGGTGCGTGCCTAATTGCTGGTATTTAAGCAAATGCTTTGTTTTGCACATTTTCACATCGTTAAGTATATGTTTTGGTTTTTGTTTTTTTTTTCTTTTTGTTTCTTGTTTATTTCTAGCTTTTTCTTGTAAAAAACCTTGGCACTCAAAAGCTGGAATTTGCATACATTTACGTGTATTCAAAATTATATCTGTTGTCCAAAATGTTGGTAATGATTTGATTGTACAATCAACGGTTTTGTAACGCAAGGTCTTAACTTTATGTCATTGTTTTTTATTTATTTTTTAAATGAATGAAAATTAGCCACTGGCAAAGACTATTAAAACGGCAACAGTGTTGTCAAATGACTGCAGGTGTGAAAATAGCACAAATATCGATAACGATGTAGTACCCTTCGCAATTCGAATTAGTAACGATTATCCTTGCCCATTCACAATGGCTTTGAGCATGCAAATATATTTGCATACCTATAAACATACATACATACAAACAAACATGCGTTTGTAGTTAATTTTTACATGCCCATTCTTATTGCAATGCTTAATGCTTAACTGTTATGTGTGAATATTTCACACGACTCTTTGGCAGCCTTGTGGCTTATCAGCCGGCATTTAAGGCACGTTAATGGAAAGAACTTAATTGTTGTGCGACCACAAAACCATGGCCAGCTGGCCGAGCTTTGGGTAAATAATCCCTAATACCAAATTGGTATAGCAGATTTTCAATGATTTCATTTTATCTTACATAAATAACTTCATATGTAGGTATTTCCCCATGTATACATGTTTACAAATTCGCAAGTTCCGCCTCAGTTTTACTTGGACTTGCATAAAAATGTTACATCAGACGGCAGATAGCTACTTTTTGGCACGCAATTTAAAACAGCACATGGGATATGGATGTGTAGATCTCCGCATAGATACCGTAAGGGCGGTGCCGGTGCGAATAAATAGCATACTACGACAAGATCTAATTAAAGCCAACCAGGTGCAGCTGCATCTGGGAAAGATGCCGCCCCAGCACTTGTAGAGTATATAGTATATCTGTGTGTCTATTTTGTTTGTCATATTTTTGCATGCCTCATTCATTCTTCTCACGCCCAAAATGTAAATGAAGTCGTTTGGGGTAAGCCGCAACGTCAAAGCCCCCTGGCTGAATGAGGAGGGGGGGGGGGGGGGGTTTCTGGGGCCTATTGCTAATGTTAAGCCAAAGACGAGTTTACATGCTTCGCTAGTTGCCGCTGTCAGCGGTCTTTGTAGTGTGAAAATCTTTTTTTTATGTTTTTGTGTTTATTTTCTATGATTATTTTTCGACATTCGGTGTAGCTAATCGCAGTCGTCATTCATAACTGCCATTGTACATGTGCATTGTTCGGCCCCGTTGACGTTTTTGGGGCTAAACTTTGGTTTTCTTTTATTGGTATTGCTGGTGGGCATTGGTATTTGGGCTGCATTTGTTGCATATTGCAACGCTTTTCTGATTTCTTTTATTAAGTTAAAGTCACAGATTCATTGTGCAATCGGCGATTACAGCGCCAGACTCTAATTTAGCAATGCCCAACTCTCTTTTGATCAAACCACGTAGTATGCAAATATTCACCTGTGCTTTTCTATGCCCTCTGACATTGTACGAGCTGGATTGCATATAGTGCATAAATCTATGCAAGGTCGCTGGCATCGTGCTGGGATCGAGCTGCAGGCAGGTCCATCAAATTGTCTGCCCACAGCTCATTATCGGGCGCATTAGTTGAACTGTGATGTGTGGCTAAAAGCGCATTATAGCTAACATTAAATCTCTGTTGATTTTCATGCAAGTGAAAATCAAGTGGCCAACCGTGCGGCACTTAAGCTGGCCATTAATTGAACCTGCCCGGGCCTGTGTTTATGCGTTGATAATGGCGAGAAATCGAAACACTTGGCTGCTGGCAGCCAAAATTAAAACCAGGAAAACGCAAATCATATAACAATGCGAGCCAAAAGTCAGACCAAAAATGATCGTGCCCCCGACCCACACATCATGTAATGCCAATCGCAATTGTCTACAGCTGACTGGACGCTACGCTCATTAGCAAATTATGTGCATACGAGTCCGCATAACGGCGTCTGTGTATGTGTGTGAGTGAGTGTATGTGTGTGGCCACGCTTCAGTGGAACTACTATAACCATAACAAACCCGGACTTAGACTCAGATACAGATATAGATAGATATAAGCTAAGATTCGAATTGAGACACAGCCGCAAAAGCGAATTCAAATTGGGAGTCGTCTCTTTGGGGGAGCTAGCCTGCAATTCACGAATCACGAATTTGTTTATTTTTATGGCTGTTTTACGCTTGACTTGTTCTGAAATATAAACGCTTTAACTTTAAGCCATATTAATTGTATTTAAATGTACTGAGGTAATAGCATAAACATAAATTAGAATGCGCGCCGTCGCTTTAATTAATGCAAAACCATTTTTGACGTTTATGATTTATGAGATTAGATAAAGGTTTCGATTTGGGCAACAACTGATAAATTAGACAGGCAGCTCCGAAGTCAAGCATTAAATGATATATATACCCTTTTATGAGCAGTTCTCTATTGTGTATATAAATAAACAGCATTAGTTTTATCGCCTTCCAAATGAAGCCTAGAACAATTCTGTGTAGAATGCGCTCCGAAGTATGCAATGAAATTTTAACTTTTTTAATTTGTGACACTTTTTTCTAGATCTAAGTTAAATGTAAATATTTAAGCACATAGCGTACGATATTTATTACATTAGCTACATATATTTTTTGTACTAAGGCTCTTTCTTTAATCGGACAAATCTCTCGTAGCTTCTCTTAACCCTCCACACACGTATGTCAATTATACAAAGTAAACTGACCCAATAGACACTGCCATAAATTGTCTCAGATGGTATTTTAATAGTCAGTTAAATTATACACACATTACCTGTAATTATTATTACCAGCTATATCATTATCGTGTCATATAGCGGTAAAGCTAGACTGTGTACAAAAAGTTGCGATATGTACATTTGACATATGCACGACGATTATGCAATCCCCATTGTCCATTGCACATTTCATTAACAAGAGCAGCAACAACAACAACTTTGAAGAAAAAACTTGAAATAGTTTCGCGTAGATTCTGCCAATTAAGATCTCAGCAAATGTTTTCGGAGTATGTATATCAAAAGCATAAGCTAAATGCTAAGGTTGACTACTGTCCACACAGCCAACAGCCTGTCGCGCAATAAGAATTTATACACATAAAATTTAGAGCATAAAACTGTCGACCGCAAAAAGCATCAGGCACCACAACATTCTGCCAATAAAAAACTGAATGCAAATGCCAAACTGCGAAGTGCAATTGCCGTTGGCACTCGAGAGCATCAGCAGCAGCAGCAACATCATCATCATCATCATCATCATCATCATCATTGTCTTCATTATGATCATTGATTAAAGCAAAGTCGAATGCAAACTGTTGCATTTCTGGTAGCCTGCTGCAAAAAGTGTTTGCAATTAAAAGAAAACAAAAACTTGAATACAACAATAAGGTAAAAGAAAAGAAGATGTTGCCACTGTTGTTGTTGTTGTTGTTGCTGCTGCTGCTGTTGTTGATCGCATCGTTGTTTTGGTTGTTGCTGCTGCTGCTGTTGACTTCGTCTAGCATGCAATGCAACAATTTCACAAGCGACACGCAGACAACTAAATGACAATGTGAGCAACCCAACAACAACAACAACATGGTGAATTTATAATAAATAAATCCCATGTAGTTGTTGTTGCTGCTGCTTGCAATTGATCGATGTTGCTGAGCGCGGCGCAGTTGCGCAAATGTTGGAGGCATTTTTGCAGTTGCCACAGAAAGATCTTCAGCTTAATTATCAACTTATTTATTTGGATTGTTTTGGCTGCAATTGTCTTAATCAATTTGTTAAGGATGAGGAAATGCCGCACACTCTATAATTTGTCAGGCCATTCAAGCGGATTACCTCAGCGCCAAATTTCACAGCTACCGTGTTAACTTTGACACCACCAACAACAACAACAACAACCGCAAGCCGAGCAAGTCGACAGCCGCGCCACGAAGACGGGCAATTAGCGTTGGGTAAGAGAGTTTGAAGTTTGAATTAAATCGCCTTTGCAATTGGCCAAATTGATGGAGCTGCAGCAGTCTGGCCCACGCATGCGCTGAAATGTTTATCCGCAATCGCCGCGCCAGTTGCCCGGTGGCAATTGCAAATGTCAAACGAAAGACTTAAGCAGCGAACTTGCTCTATTGGGGGCGGCATCGGTGACGGCGCGTTATTAAATATGCAATGCAAATGCAACTGCAAATTTAGAGCTTGTTAAATGTAATGCGCACAATTTGCGCCAACTAAACAGCAACTAAACACAAATGTGCCCTTTAGCCTCGGCCAGGCCAGGCCAGGCCCAGCCCCAGATCCGGGCTTAGGCCCAACAGCGGCGGGCGGGCAATTTAGTGTCACGTTAGCATTTTGGTGGGCCAGACAGGCGGGCGAACGCTTCCAGGCGGCTGCCAAATGCACGGGTGGCCATTAAACAAGCGCCTAACCAGCAGTTTCGGCCGTCAACGTTGAATTAACCAAAGTAGCCCCCTGAAACGTTTGCTTAAAACCCATTGAGAAGCCTATAGAGAAGCTGCCGCTGCTGCCGCTGCCGAACCTTTCTCTTTGTGCCCACCGCAAAGGTCGGCAACAACGGTTCGTGGCTCGAACCGCGTCTATGCTTTCGGTCTTAGTCTCGGCTGTGTCTGGGCCGCGGCTTTTTATAAATACAAGTGTTAGCCGCACAATGGCAAAGATTCGTTTGTCGAACGTGCAACGCGCGCGATCAAGACTTTGTGCTCCGGCTGCTGCCAATTTCTCGAAGCATAGGCAGGAAAAACAACAAACGGTAGATCGTCGCCAACATCATCATCGTCATTCAAAACAATTGCAATGGCAACCAAAAAGCGTTAAAACTTAACGCTTTTCGCTTGTAATTCAAGACGCGTGCGCGTCCAAGGATTAAAAGCCACAATTACAGCGAACGTTTTCAATTTTTCAGTTACGGATTGTGTCGAATCTTCACAACCATTATATAACTCTTAATAACCGTCGCATATATTACGCTGACTTTTGTTTGTGTGTGTTTCTGTGTGTTTCCTGTGTGCTGATGTTCGATGTTGTTTGTCTTCTTTTCGCAGCCAGCTATGTTTAATGCATTAATCCGAATTGCGAGCATTTGACAAGGAAAACGAGGAAATTCCCAAGTGACTGTGAAAGTAATAAACAACAACAACAATAACAATAACAACA